TCTTAAACCGATCAGGGCATCTGACACAGCTCACTATTGCGCGCCTTACGATCTGACCGCACGGTACAAACAACAAACAGAACAAAAACCTACCTTATCGTTGTAAATTGGTTTCAAACATCAAAACCGCGGTCTGGTAAACGCTAGCCGGTGGCTACCCTCCATTGCTTGAGGCCACCGGTACAAGCGGACAGAACTGGAAGAGCCCCCATATCGCTGATGTGCCTTTCAATCCACCGCTCGCTCTCGCAATTTGTCAGAAAGAGGGTCGAGTCAACGCTTTCCCCTCATCGTCGCCTCAATCCGCGTGAAGACGGCAAACCCTCCGAATGTCACAGTCCCGGTTCCTTCCTCGGGTGCTAACTGAACTGGTCAGACCCCCCGAGAATAGCTCTTGGCAATTCCCACCTTCCTTTACGATTTCTCTTCAATCAATCATGGTCTGGCATCAATGAATGTCGACAGGATGGACGCGATGACGTACGGATAGCTGCACAAAGTTTAATCTGTATGAGCCTCCTGTTGCCGCCGCTATGCACAGACATTGGGGGAAAATGGGTTAGCAGCGACCGCGAGTGTTACGACACATTGCTGGCCGACAATTGATTTGCGAATGGTGTCAACGAGATTTTACGATTGAGCCGTTGCATGGCACGGCAAAATCTCGCTGGTCTCAAGCCACTGGCTAATCTACAACCGACCCGTTGGTGAGCGCACCCCACCTCATCGATGACCATCAATCGCGGACCCTCCCTCGCCGCCGTTGACGTTTTGATGATGACGTGTGTTCGGTGATCTGTGGCTACAAACGGCGAAGGTACAGTTTTGCATCTCTACCGTCCAGTAATCTGGCGCAATAATCACTGGCGTAAAGAGACGATCGACGAGGGCGGTTGTAGGCTTGGACAGATGCAACCCGTCGTTAGATATGACTGGAAACGGCAGTGGGACATCGTCGCCAGTGTCTCCCACCGGCAAAGTCAAGTGGTATGAAACCTCCCAGTTGAGAAACATCGCCTCTCATCATTGCTAATATCTCTCGCAAAACAAGAAACCACACACCGTCGGTTAGCGGTGTCTCCTAACCCATTACCTTCGCCACCATGAATCTCAAACCTCGTAGAATTGAAAAAAAAATATAAAAAAAATAAATAAAGAAAATACACTTTTCCAAAAAATTACGGTGGGACCCCAGTTTTTGCAAACCGCACTATAAGGGGCAATTTATAGAAAATCTAAAAATACTTTGACATTTCCACGGGCAATCCAGTCCCGTTCAACCGCATTGCTGGCAGGTTTTGGCGGTGAACGCACCCAAATGCGTATCCTGCCATTCCATAACCTCGCCAACAGTCAGACAGTGTAACTTAATTGTGGGCTTACTATAAATAAGATCAATTTGGTTGCCCTAGACCGGTAGGCGCGGTTTGATGAAGTTTCAGAAAATATTTCGGTAGTTTATGTGTTTCCCCATGGCCCGGTAGGGTGCGGTTTTTTGCGCGTATTTCGCCCAAATGCGATCTGCATTTCCTCCGCACCGGGCTTCGCAAAGATTACCGAATTAAGTTTATCTTCAAGTAACCACCGCCCGGTTCGTCTCCCCAAAAAAAAAAAAAAAATCCAAAAAAAAAAAAAACCACTCCATCCGCGCACATCTAAGCAAAGCGCATGCCGGATTTCGACCAATTTTATTGAACCCACGTTATATTACGTCTGTTCCTGCCATTGATAATCCATTCTAAAAAGCTATGCCGATACGCAGGGGTATCTAATAAGCAATTTTTGCAGGGTCTAATTATTATACGATTTCATCTGCTATTTCTTCCTGCCGTTTTTTGCCTACTTAAAATTCGGCACCAATCATAAACGGGTTCCACTATAGTTTTTTGAGGCGAAGAAATAGATGCTTCTGCTCCTTTGATAAACCCAGTGGACATAGTCCGGTGCATTCATCAGTGACGCGTCACAATAAAATATTCTTGAGATTCCAGTGGTTTTGACACGTATATTATGTCTCGTTGCAGCCATTGGCACGAAATTTGCTTAAATAACTATTGTGATCTGCGTAAGTGCTACAACTTTTGCGTGCAGCGAAATAGAAGGAATTGCAAAACGGCTTCTATCCATCACCATTGGTAAATTTTTTAGGAAAAAGTGAAGCACCTACGCTTTTGATACATTATCGAAATCCAGTTTTGGGTAACATAGCTGCAAGCGGCTTATACTGTTGCTGCTACCCTCCCACCATAGTTGGGGGATAAAAGAACTGGAATGGAATCTTCAAATGAGGTTAGTTTTTAAAGAAACAACTGGCCAAGCGTTTTCATTGTATTCGATACGGGATTTTTATAGCACAGCGCGGAAGATCTGTGAAGAAATCTTCTCTCGTTGTGTGCAGTACCCTGAGAATCAGCAGGAGATTATATAGTGAACTTGGAAACTCCCGAGTGTATATGTCTGTTTTGCTGTTTGTCTGCAATACACGAATTCTCTCATCGGATAAAAACATGGAATTGGCGAAAGACAGATTGATAAAAGTTGCTGAGGGCTATAATTGGAAGCTTTTGGGAACGCTTGAAAAACATACTGTGGACCAACAAAAAATAATGTTGAATGGATTAAGACAGAAACGGGAAACGCTTAATTTACCGCGTAAGCGATGGATATCACTCCATCGTCTTAATTTTTATTCAGGAGTGCCTTCAAATGAAGATAGTTTTTAAATATACACCTCTGGTGAACGGGAGTACGTTCATCTATTATATCGCGTTCGGATTTTTAGCATGTCGCTACCAGGCTATGCGAAACCACTTCGGTGGTGGACTACCCCTGAGGGACACATCAAAATTAGGACACCAGACTTGGGTAATACGCCAACATGTTTGCACATCCTGATTGAACTCACCGGGTTCCAGGAATCAATGATTGACAAAGCTAGAGGTAAATGGATAGATATTGGCAAAGGCTACGGTTGGGAACTCTTAGGAACGCTTAAGGAAGAAGCGGATATTCCAGATCCTATAGATTCCGTCTGCTGCTAGAGTATTGCGTACGTTTATAGTAAAGGCATAATTAGTTATACGATCCCAAAGACTTGGCGGGGTCGAAACGCCAGCGAGAATGCGTGTATCTGTGTCTTCTAAAGTGTCCATCGTTTTTCGGGCTACTCTAGTCACGGAAAAAGTGGAGCGTTAAAAGGCTTCCATCTTATCTGTAACTCCTTTCAATAGTAGTCGCGACTAAACTCCATCGTCGGAGTTTTCTAAGGCGGGTGTCTCTTCCTGTAACTTACAACCGACTGATAACTGACAACTATTTATCCCTCAATCGCTTCAACGTTAGCACGAGGGAGTAGCGTCTGTTCACCGTCCGAGAGTTGCACTCTGCACAACAAAAACCGTACCACGCTGTGCGCTGTCTCAAGTCTCTGGAGTTCTCCGGCAGTCTCGTGACCTGCGTCCAATCACTCCCGAAATATAACGGTTCTCCCGGATGATACGCACCGAGCTGCCAACCTCCAGAATCCCTTCAGTGGCATCCTCTTGTGCATCGGATGCTGATCCTATCGCAGCCTCAGGCGCGAACGGAATCAGGATCTCCGGACGGACACCCCAGCACGAATCTGTGTCGCTCCGTTGATAGAGGTTTTCATGCCTTCGCGTGCTTTTAGGAGCGTGAAAGTCTGCTCCGCCATCGCGATGCTCCGAACCCCTCCGTAATAACCAATGTGATCCCTATCTCTTCAGAACCAGTAATCGCCACACCAAGTTCATAGCCGAGAAGTTCCCGCAGATCCGCGTCATCGATACCGACCAGCGATGATACCTCTCACACCGTGCTGGATCGCTTTCTCAATTGCCGCCGTTGTAACCAGCGAACCCCCAACCAGAATATTATCCCGATGCTCAGGGAGTATCTGTTCAGCAATCAACGCATCATTCGGCGATTCCGCAACAACGGTTAAGTTTCCCACCGTCTCGCCACCAATCCCAAAGATACCTTGGATGTACGTGCCGAACGTCTCCACCGTGACACCTTCATTCGGAAGGGTCTCTGTTACCGTGCCATCGGTATAGGCTTTGACTTCCACGGGGATAGGCGGCTCTCGAAGGATAACCTGTCCTGTAACATCCGATACCGCTTCAATCGTGCCGTCAATCGGTGAGCGTGCCTGCGATTTGAAGAGTCCGAAGAGTCCTTTTGTCGTGGCAATAATCTCGTCTTCTGAGACAGTTTCGCCTACAGGTTTGAGCATGTGTTCCGCAACTTCCTCCGGTGGGACACTGAGTAAGTTAGCAACGTTTACCAGTTGAACGTTGCCCGGCAGATCCGCCTTTGCGACGACATCCTCTGCCTTGACTGTTGCACCAGCTTCCACGAGGACCTCGCCCTCAAGCGGGAGCCGGCGTTCCTTTTGAATCGTCATCCCCTCGGTCACCTTAAGACCGGGGGTATATGCATGCGCCATTAATTACCTCAATTTCCAAACGTAGTGCTTTGTCCACCTAAAAATTATAGGTTCGTAGTAGCGCAATTCTGCGGCGTACTCGCCCAAATGCGACGTGCATTATTGCGCTCTTGGGTGTACTAATGAATTGTCCCACTACAAGCGACTTCCAAATTCAAACTTGACGAAGCAGTAGTCTGTTTCTATGAGTTCTATAAATATGATGTCCTTGTTGACTCGGTGTGGTTGAAACCTCGTCAGCGAAGTCTAAAAATATATTATACCATTTTGATTGTATTTATGCTAAAATGAAATCAGAATTTTGATAAGGTGAACTACAATGGCAAACCAAAGCGTCGCTTACAAAACTGGTAAAATCATGCCGACACCGGCACAACTCGCTGATATAGGGCGTGAACTCCAGTTTTATCCAAGCCTCACTGAGCGTCCGACGGTGCTAACCACGGAGCAGGTGACTAATTTCAATCGCGTCGGTTATATCAAAGGGATTCCAATCTTTGATGAAACAGAGATTGGCGAACACCGCCAGTACTTCGATGCCCTATTAGCGAATGTCATCGCTGCAGGTGGCAGTAGTTACTCAATTATCTCCGCGCACATGAAATACGGCAAGGTTTATGACCTTCTCACGCATCCAAAAATTGTAGCCTGTGTAAAAGATATAATCGGCGAGGACGTTATCGGTTGGGGCGCGCACTACTTCTGCAAGATGCCGCACGATCCGAAAAACGTCGGATGGCATCAAGATGCCGGTTACTGGCCCCTCACACCCTCCAAAACCGTTACCGTCTGGCTCGCGATTGACGATGCCACCGTTGAAAACGGCGCGATGCGGTTTATTGCAGGATCGCATCACTTAGGACACTTGACACCTCGGCACAGCGAACCCGACGAAAATAGCGTATTGGGTCAAGTCGTTGAAAACGCCGAACAACTCGGAGAATCCGTGGATGTTGAACTCAAAGCAGGCGAAATCTCTATCCACACCGACCTACTTTTACACGGGTCAAACGCCAATCCTTCACCGAAGCGGCGGTGCGGTCTCACATTACGCTACTGCACCTCTGATGTTCAAGCATCCTTCCGCTGGGATCAAGAAGGGGTCGTCGTGAGTGGAAAAGATAAGAGTGGTCACTGGGGCAATCCGCCACGTCCTGCTGTCGATTAATCCAACAGATTGTAAGCATCTATAACTGGGCATCTCGTTTTGTTAAAATGATACCACATTTCGCGGCAACAGTCAAAGGCGGGTGTAGGAGCGACCTCCCGGTCGCGATTCCTCTGTAGGCGTGATCTCCGAATCACGACTTCTTCAGTTTTTATTTATAGTGATGTTCATCATCAAATCTACTCTTCGTGTCAGCGCGTTCGGTTAAATAATCAGCCCATACTTGTAATACCTCAATTCTCGGTGGGTTCTCGGATGGCGAACCGAATTGGAATAGTCTACTGCTTTCCACGTATCGCTGATCAATTTCATCCAGTTTTGCCTGCTTTAACCGAGAAACTTCACTTCTTGAGGGAACCTGCTGAAAACCGCTTGCCAATGCCCCCATTGTATAGGTAATTGTGGGCTTTACTATAAGTGTCTATCTGTTGTTTATTAGGACTTGCGTACAATGCGGATATTAAGGAATGAAAGGATGCAGAGGTGGGGAATCTCTCCCTACGCTTCCAATTTTCCAGTCTTCCAATCCGGCAAGCAAACGAATGGATTTTGTGTCTGTCCTAACTTATACCAAATTAACTTGATTAGAAGTTTTTTGATCAAGTCAGCATTGCGAGGCACAGGGACCTCGCGCTACAAACGGGGTTAATTTGGTATTAGTAGGTTCAGGACTTACGCAAATTTAGACGCGATGGTAGATTTTTGCTTTTTAAACCCCCTAAATCCCCCTTATCAGGGGGACTTCTGAACGCGCTGCGTAAGTCCTAAGGTTTAAACGGCATCCAAAAATCCCAATTCACGCAACCGATCAATCCAACGTTGTCGCCTTTCACTACCTGTTGGATTTGCGACCCAATGCGGATCGTAGAGTGAGGTGCCTGGTCGGTTAAAATGTTCGGGACTCTTCGCGTTGCTGCGTGCGCGATTACGTGCAGCGACATCTTCTTCAGGTGTCTTTGGATTGTTATAGTAAACCACGGTACACATCCGACGGTCTTCACTACCGCCCCAGCTTGCATGCCAGCAACGCATATCAAAAGCGACTACATCACCCGGTTCCGATTTGCAAACATAACCCGGAACGTCACAAATCTCCAGTCCCAACTCATTCAAGTTCTCCCGCAGATCATCGTGCAGCTGATTCTTGTGAGAGCCAGGGATTAGTCGCAAGGCGCCGCTTTCGGCATCAACAGGTTCCAGATAATACGCAAATTTCACCCCATAGCAATCTTGGGTCGGATCGGCACTATGGTCGGGGTGCCAACCTGTATTGCCAACATAACGGTTGGCATCCGAAACCACGAAGAATGCGTCTTCGCCGTACAGTTGTTCTACCACCTCGGAGAACCGTGAGTCTTCCGGTATATTTGTGAAGAAGGGTGTTTCGGGGCCCATCATCGGCAGCCAATGTCGGCGCGTTCCATCAAATGGGGCATGATGATACGCCGCCTCCATCGCCGCGTCAAACTCCTCGCGTATTGTATTCAGCTCGTCTTGATTGAATAATTGCCGAAAAACGAGGAATCCCAAAGTATGAAAATGCTTGATTTGTTGTTGTGTGAGCATGATGTGCCTCCACGTTTTATGGGGTTTCCCAACTCTTAATAAAATCTTCGACGCTGAAATCCACTGGCATATCGTTCGGATTATAGTCAGATGTCCGTTGGAATCCTGGCTGATATGCCTCCTTTGGGAGTTTCAGTTTTTCGTCGAGTGGTTGGAATCGCTGCCAGAGTTCGGTCACCTGTTCAGGCGTAAAGTGATTTCCAAGGTAGGTAATGTCTCGACCGTTGCCCCACAAGGAGGCAGAGGTGACGCTTGTATGCTTCAGGCTATACAATTTGCCAGCCAGTTTTGAAAGCATCACAATGCTCACCATCTGGTCGTGTGGTGAGGGATGTAACGCCACCAGTTCAACACGGAATTGGTCTGTATCTCTATTGATGATGATATGGAAAATAGCGGCTATCTGGTCTAACTCCTGAAAAAAGAGCGCATCCCATATCTCGAACTGTTTTCGTGCCGTCTTTGAAAGATGGTGATAAAACCCTGGCTCCCAGTGTCGCCAGTGAACATTGGGCAGAGCCGCAAATCCGAATGGACGGTAACCCGGGTGAAGGGTCCGCCGCATTTTACTGCTGTAGTAGCTTCCCCAGTGCAACAGCAGATGTGTGTACACAACACCGTCCCCAGCATTCAGTTCAACAGGTATCCCGCCGGGCAGTGGGACAGACGGATTTTCTGCGAGTTGTCGGTGTTCTTCGTCAGTGTTAATTCGACGATGGCTGCGCGGAACAATCCAGAACACACTATCGTCGTACAGAGCGATGTTCCACTGCAGATAACTCGGACCGTGATGTTCCATGTTTGAAATCATCCCGCGCAGTGGAGCAGGTTCACCGGGACCGATGTCACGGTGCCAATGCATTGGACCGGCATCGCGACTTCCGCTACAGATGCAGGCGAATTGGTGTGGCACAACGTGTGCTGCTTCCATCAACTGCTGACTCACACCCAGCGTGTTTTCGTGAAGCAGAAATTCGATTGCAGAGGCAGACATGTCATCACAGTCTGTGTCAAATTGCAAGCGCGGTTGAGCAGAACTTTCCCAATCACCGCCTTGCGGATCAGAGGGAAAACGTCGTTGCGCAGAGATTTCTTTTCTCCGGTCAACTATGTGTTCGATACTACGGCGCAGCGGTTCAAGTTCTGCTTTCGGCACAACACCGCGTAAGATATTGTAACCTTCCTCAGTGAACTGTTGCTGATCGACTTGCATGCTATATTACCTCTTCCGAACGCGATTTCAACGTGCCAACTTCTGCTGTAGTTTTGGGCTATCTATAACATCTCGGTTCACAATCCACGATGGAATTTTCCCAGAAGCGACGCTGATAATGCTCTCGCACGCACTCTTGCCGTTGCCTTCAAAACACTCATCCGTCCAGCAGATACTGTGCGGGGTGACGATTACATTGTCCAGACTTAAGAGTGGATCGTCATCACTAATGGGTTCCTGCTCAAACACATCAAGCCCAGCACCTTGAATCCGTCGATTCTGGAGTGCTTCTGTGAGTGCCTTCTGCTCAACGATCGGACCGCGTGCGGTGTTAATCAGGTAAGCCGTCGGCTTCATCAGCCCGATACGTCTCGCATCGACGAGTCCGCGCGTATCTTCGTTCAAGGGGCAGCAGACGCAGACAAAATCAGCGGTCTCGCATCAAAGTATCCAAATCGACGAGTTCTACGCCGACCTCTTCTGCCTCAGCAGGTGTGACGTACGGATCGACAGGTGATGTGACGCATCCCGAACGGTTTCGCCAGTTTAAATGCTTCTTTTCCGATATTGCCCATGCCGACGAGACCCAGCGTTCTGCCAACTAACCCCATGCCCATGTAGTTTTTCGTGTCTCTCCATCCACCGGCACGAGTGAGTCGATCCTTTATTAACAACTGATGACTCAGCGATAAAACAAAAGTCATAATAGAGGTGGCAACGGGGCGACGAACACCATCGGGGGCAATTGTGAGCAGTACACCATTTTCGGTACACGCTTCCACATCCACCTTATCATATCCGACACCGAACCGAGCGATAATCGCTAACCTGTTGGCATCTGTGAATGTCTCTGCTGTGATGCCCGCACCCAATACTAAGAGCGCATCATAATCCTGCACCTGTACAGCTTGTAATACCGGTGTGTTCTCTGCGATATATTCCCAGTGCAGACCGGCTCGGTCAAAAAGTGAACCGGCGATGTCATCTAAATCAGAAGTGCCATCCGGTCCTACGAAGTCACGTGTGATACCTATACGAAATACGGATTTGTCCATTGCTATTCCTATTTAGTCTTGTTAATGTTTACTCCGGTTCAAGCGATGCCTTACGGAGATATTTCCAACCTATTGGCGACAGTTTGAGATTCTGCACCCGTCTATCAATAACCAAAAGTCGCTGTGCATGTGCTAACGGCACCCACGGAGCATCTCTATGAAAGACTGCTTGTGCTTGCCGATAAAGGGCACTGCGGACATCTCGATCGGTCTGCAGCCTCGCGCCTCCTCTATCTATACCCTGCAGTTCCAAACCTATCTCAAGTTCGCTGATATCTTGATCCGTACTCGTTCTGGCCCGATCAAGAAGTGCCTGCATCTCATCGCTTCGATAAAAAGCGATATTATATGCAGGCTTCTCAGCGGCAGGGATACTCAAAAGAGAGTAAAAAAGTTATCTGGGTCTGCCACGTCGGCAATCCACCCTAACATTGCCATATCGTGCTCACCGACTTCTGTTTTCGCAAGATAGGGTTGCCCAGTCGTATGTCACAATTTTGGCGTTGATGCCGATATTTCGGAGTTCGGATTGAATGGCTACTGCCAGTGCCATCCCATCTGGAATATAGGGACGCGGAACAGGTAACGCCCAGAGGGTCGTCTCAAAACCGTCCGGGTATCCTGCCTCAGCGAGGAGTTGTTTCGCGAGTTCCGGATTGTATTCGTAGTCTTCAATGGAATTGTCATAACTCCAGAGTGAGGGAGGGATTGGGTTTTTGGCGGGGATCCCCAAACCTTGATAGAGCTGCTCAACAATTTCGGTTTTGTTAATGGCGTGGTTTATTGCGAGCCGGACCTTGAGGTTATCAAACGGTGGTTTTTCCATGTTCATCGCCAAATATCCGATGTTCAGACTCGGTTGCATGAGAAGTTCGAGTTGTGGGTTGCCTTGGATCAATGGTACTTCGTTAGGGTTCGGAAATTCCATGACGTGGAGGTTGCCTTTTTCGAGTTCAATGAGTCTCATGGCGTTATCGGGAATAGAACGGAAGATGAGCCTATCAAGTGTAGGTCTACCTGCCCAGTGCTGATTGTTTGCTGCAAGGGCGATTTTGTCGTTCCGATCCCACTGAACGAATTTGAAAGGTCCTGTACCTACCGGATTGTTGCCGAAATCTTCACCAAAACTTTGAACAGCTGCCGGACTCACAATAGAAAACGAAGTGCCTGCCATCGTGCTAATAAACGGAGCGTATGGTGTCTTGAGTTGAATTTGCACCGTAAATGGATCGAGGGCAGTAATCTGTTTGATGAATTGTTCATGAAAATTACGAAATAATGCGAACGGTCGGGTGAGTGAAAAGACGACAGCATCGGCGTTAAACGGGGTGCCATCGTGGAATTGAACGCCTTGTCGTAAATGAAATGTCCACGTCAGTCCATCGGCGGTGCGTTCCCACCTTTCAGCTAAGGCAGGTTCAAGATCGGTTGTGTTCTCCCTATATTGAACGAGTGTATCGTAGATCATTTCACAAACCTTCGCCGATTCGCCATCAACGACTTGCGTGGGGTCGAGGGTAAGAGAATCACCGCCGCGCCCGAAAATCAGCGTGCCACCTGTGGATGTAGTCTCGGGTTCGCTACCTCCTATAACGCTGGCGACGAGGACTAAGTCTAAAATGTTTACCGTACCGTCGCCGTTGACATCAGGATTCGGCACTTGTGTTGAATCAATACTCTCACCAAGATGCGAGGCGACAAGCACCAAATCGAGGATATTCACAACGCCATCGCCGTTGGCATCGCCTAAAACTTTAGTGTCTTGTGCAGTACTACCTGTCAAAAATATGAGGGATAAACCGAGTATTATTGCTGAAAAAATTAGTTTTTTCATACTATTTTTCAAGCCAGATTTGGCGGAAGTACCTCCATTTCAACGGATGGAGTTTGAGATTCTTGACCTTTTTGTTAATCACTAAAATCTGTTTTGCGTGCGCCAACGGTACCCACGGCACATCTTTGTGGAAGATCTGCTGTGCTTCTTGGTAGAGCGACACCCGCTTCTCTCGATTCGAGCTTGCTCTCGCTTGCTCTAAAACGTTTTGCATTTCATCGCTTCGGTAAAATGCGATATTTCCCGCGGGCTTCTCCGCTGACGATTTACTCAAAAGAAAGTAGAGGAAATTATCTGGATCACCGAGGTCAGCACTCCATCCTAACATTGCCATGTCGTGCTCCCCATTTTTTGTTTTCTCAAGATAGGTGCCCCAATCGTAGGTCACGATTTTTGTCTCAACGCCAATATTTCGGAACTCGGATTGCAGCACTTCTGCAAGGGCACGTCCATCAGGAATATAGGGGCGCGGCACTGGCAATGCCCAGAGTGTTGTCTCAAATCCATCAGGGTATCCGGCTTCAGTGAGAAGCTGCTTCGCGAGTTCTGGGTCGTAGGCATAGTCCTCAATTGTATCGTCATAACTCCAGAGCGTCGGTGGAATCGGGTTTTTTGCTGGGATCCCCAAACCTTGATACAGATGTTCAATAATCACTGATTTGTTAATGGCGTGGTTTATCGCGAGCCGTACTTTGAGATTGTCAAACGGCGGTTTCTCCATGTTCATCGCCAAATAGCCGATGCTCATCCCGGGTTGCGATAGTAATTCAAGTGTCGCATCATCTCGAATCTGTTGCAAATCGTCCGGATTTGGGAACTCCATCGCGTGAAGACTCCCCTGCTGAAGTTCAATGAGCCGCACCGAGTTGTCAGGAATAGAACGAAAGATGACTCTATCTAACATTGGGCGTCCGCCCCAATAATTATCGTTTGCCTCAAGCACGATTTTATCTTGCCTGTCCCATCGCACGAACTTGAAGGGACCGGTGCCAACCGGATTGTTGAAAAATGCATCGCCCGATTTTTTCACCGCAGTTGGACTGACAATAGAGAACGGGGTTATGGCAATCGTATAGATAAACGGAGCATAAGCCGTTTTAAGGCGAATTTGGACGGTAAATTCATCAACGGCAGTAATTGTATCCACGATCTCTGCCAAGCCAGTGGCTATCCAATAAATATAAATACCACCAACGTTATGGAACGGGTGTGTTTCATCGTGCTGTCGGTTAAGGGAAAAAACAGCCGCCTCGGCGTTGAAAGGGGTGCCATCATGGAAGGTTACACCTTCTCGAAGGTAAAAAGTCCATGTCAAACCATCTTCTGAACTCTCCCAACTTGTAGCGAGACCCGGTTCAAGTTCGGTGCTTCCATCTTTGTATTCAACGAGTGTATCGTAGATGTTATCACAAACTTTGAAAGATTCTCCATCTTCCTCAAGAGCTGGGTCTAATCCGACGGAGTCACCGCCGCGCCCAAATATTAAGGTGCCACCCCGCTGCTGATGCGAATCAGCATAAGCAGGTGAAAGCGTCGCAAGCGGTAGTATCAGGACAATGAGTAAAGAGACCTGTGTGAAAAACTTATTTTGCATAAATTTCTCCTATGTGTATTGAAAAGATATGTCCTATGATACATACTTTTCTGCGAAATGTCAAGCGGTCTTTTTTCTCGGTGTGTCAATATTTTGTCAAAATTTAGGGTGGAAGGATGGCAGCCTGATGGGATTGTCAGCATCAGAATTTTTGAGTTTCTAAACTCAATGTCATGTCGCAAATAATGTCCACAAAGTGTTATAGTAAAACCCAAAAATGTGTTTACACTTTAAAGAGCAACAATTCCGTGAATACACTCGCTCGCTGGCGAGGTTTTGCGGCGTACTCGCCCAAATGCGATCTGCATTCCTAACCTCGCCAATTCCTGAGTGTCCATTTAATTGTAGGCTTTACTATAATAAGCGCGCAGGCCTTTGAAACGCGGTTTTTAGGCGAGTCGGACTTGGCTTATACGTCTTATGAAACTCACAGAGATGCCGTTGTGGATCGGACGCTTTAGGCGTTAGTGAATGGGGTTTCCGTAGGTTGGGTAGAACGGCGTTAAGAAGTCGGATGTAAGCGTTCCAAACACACCTCAAATCCAATATGCTGCCATGTATACTCAACAACGCAGTGAAACCCAACTTCATGCCGTCAGAATTCCGGGAACTTCACAACAAAAGCGTTGGGTTTCGCTCGATTTCTGGTTGATGTGGTGCCTATGGAGAAAACTTCGTTTTTCTATGATTTTTACGGTTTTGGTAGAATCCGTTCTACCCAACCTACGATGCTATGAAGCAGTTTTTCTTAAATTGACACTTATGAAGCATTTGGATACAAGCCCTACCGTATTACGGGGATTTGAAACCTCACTTCCGTAAAAGTCGTTTTATTAAAGGGGATAATGTCTTAACTAATAGTGACGAGGTTCCAAATGCACCTAATACAATCCTTGGGTGCGTTCTATGGCATTATTAGCAGTGTATAGCGCGGCGCAAGCCTCGCGCTATGAATAGATCGCGTCCAAAAAATATGTTATCTTTTGAGCAACTCATCCAGAATCTAACAGATACAACGCAGCCGAGCATTGTGCGTAGCAGCGCCATCGCCGGGCTTGCCACGCAAGGCAGCCCACATGGCGTAAAGCTTCTAATTGAGGCACTTGCCGACTTAGATTCAATGATACGGCGTGAGGCGGCAAAGGCACTTCAGGACTTGGATGCTACAAGTGCTACGGAGCCTCTTCTCCGCGCGTTGCAAACGGAGTCGAATGATTTAACACTTTGGGCAATGCTTGAAGCTATCAGCGAATTGGGAACCCCCAGTGTGCTTCCTGCGCTTGAATCACTCCGTGAAATTGATTCTATGCTCACGCGGATAGAGGTGAAGAAAAGTATCTCCCGAATTCAGGCCCGCTACGCCGACGGATCTACCACATCTCCAGAAGTATCCCAAGCCTGAAACGCATGATAAACAGACAGCGGTAGATGAGCCGCCACCGACAGTAAATTTTGGAAACCTTGGGTCCCCGTCTGTTGCTGCGGAGGGGTCAAACTACTTCAAATAAAGAGAAGAGAAATCGCGGTCGGACATCGGCAAATAAAGAGAAGAGAAATCGCGGTCGGACATCGACACAAAATTCGCCGCTGTCTTACGTCAATCCTTCTATTGAAACAGAGACATCCGACGATACACCTATAGAAGAAGCGGAAGAAAAAGTGACGGATGAGGCATTCGCTGACGAACAGTCGAGTATCGCTATAGAGTTGACCTCTACAAATCCGCCTGCTGATCCAACTGAAACGACTTTAACAGGACTTGACGAGAGAACTGACACGGCGGACCGGGCACAGTCCGTCGACGAATCTGCTGAGATTATAGATGAAACCGAACCGACAGAAGCAGCGGAAACATCCGCAAGTTTGCCTAATGACCTTGATGAAGAGACGCTAACGGATTCAGAAGATGTAGGTGAAGCGACAGGTAATACCCAACTTGCTGATGAATCGGTTGAAATTATAGATGGAACGGAAGATACGGAAGCGGTAGCATCTGATACAGAATCGCCACAACGAGAAGATAAGGATATAACGAATTTATCAGAGGCAATCGCACGATCGCCTCGGCTTGCAGGTTCGTCTGTTAACCTCCCGGTGTTAGCACCGAATGCCGCCACTGTGCCGTACGACCCCAAGGGAACAGCACTTGAGCCGGCGCGTACTAATTTTTTCCTCACCCTATTATACCCAAGCAAGTATCTCTCTAAACAATGGGTGTTCCGGACGCGTGCCTACCTAATTTTGTGGGCTGTACTCATTGCGGGGATAATCGGGTTCACCCAACATCAGAAACACTTCAGAGCAGAATCAGAACATCTACCCCGTATTGGACTCTCCGCTGATAAACTGCCGGAATTGGTAAAACGTTCCTTAGCAGAAGGTGATTTCTATATTCAAGAGGGTTATTATAGAAAAGCCATTAGTTCTTATGAACTCAGCCGCGGGCTCGGTGCACTCCCTATTGACTTCTATAGGAAGCTCGGATTCGCATACTTCAAGGAAGGTCAGTACGCACTTGCTGTTGAAGCGTATGAGTTGTTTTTAGAGGCGCGAGATGAAGAGACACCGGATGTGTTTGCTGCCGAAGCGTCGCTTGTCGGTGTGTCCCCACTCACTTCAGTAGCGGAAGGGACTACACGGGACTATGAAACCTACAATATCCTTGGCACGGCGTATGCCAAACTTGGACGTGTGTTAGACGCGCAACGCGCTTATGAGAAAGCGATACGTATCGCACCCAAGTATGGCGAAGCATACAACAACCTCGCACACCTCTATGCAGGCAACTACCAGCAACCGTTAATGACAGGGCTTGGAGATCCGAAAGCTTCCCCAAAACTAAGACTTGCTGAAGCGTTAGCGTATACTGCTGTTACGCTGAATCCAGATGTAGCCGCTTATCATGATACCTTGGGCTGGATTTTGTCGAAGCGCGGACAGGTGAATAAAGCGATGAAAACGTTAGAACGTGCTATCAATCTTCAGAAAGATGCTATTGAGCCACACTACCATCTCGCACAAGTCGCATTGGAAGCCAACGAACGGAAAAAGGCGGTAGAAGCGATCCGTAACGTGTTTAAACTCAAACCTTCCTTTGTATCCCTCAACACGGTCAAATAGAAACCGTTTTGTAGGGGCAGCCCTTGTGGCTGCCCTCTTTAACGGACGACAGAGAGTTTGCCAACGCGACGATCGGTGTCAGACGAAAGGACATAGATATAAATGCCGCTACTAATGCCAGAGAGATCCCAAACTTTTTTGTCTCGTTCACGTTCCGTTTTCGCGAACGATGCAATACAGTTGCCACTGACATCGTAGATGTAGATGTGCGTTCCCACGGGTAGATTATCAAATGTAACCTGATCGCATTCCGCTGGATTCGGATAGACGATTGTCTCTGCAAGTTTAGGGGCTGGTAGCGTTATCGTCAACATTCTCGCGTCATCTTCGAGGTCAGCACCGTATATATCCGAAAGCTGTAGTGCCTCAATCTGATAGCGGTTGCCTGTGTGGAAGACTTTCAGACGGAAATGTGAGTACGACCCGCTGCCGAGTCTTATCAAGAATCGCCGAACGAGGTGTATAACTCTCTAAGCCGCTTTCTGCATCTCCTTGCTTGTACAGACGGTAACGTCCAGTGTATGTTGCAGAGATGCCCATTGGTTTGTCAAAATTCAACGAGATTTGATTCGGCGGTGAATACATCGCATCGCGCAATCGCGGTCGTTGGGTTGCTATTACAGCTACAGGGGTGGATAGTCCTGAAAGTTTACCGTTGAGATCCCGATCAAAGATGGTTAAAGTGTTATTGTTGTTAAACAACAAAACGTTCGTACCATCTCCATTGAGATCTGCCACAATCGGATTGAAAGTGTTTGTCGCTGCATGGTGCCAGATAGGACGATAATCTACGCCATCATATTGCACAAGGTAGAAATTCGGCGCGACAGCAATGCACAATTCATTTCGTCCGTCGTTGTTCGCGTCCGCAATAGTCATCCCATTCCCACCATCTTGCACATCACGAATCCGTTGCGTCCATACGGGTCGGTAAGTATCATCTCCATCGGATGTGAAGACGGTTAAAAGCCAGTGATTGTACCGAATGTCAAGTGCTATGGTGCCGACCTTGGTCCCTGTTTTCCCACAGACAGCGAATTCCGCTTTACCATCACCGTCCATGTCCCCAGCGGCAAAGAGTTCTGGGATACCTTCGGGCAGCGTAGTTGTCCATGTATGTCTATATTGGTTGTCTCCAATCGTTTCATATACAAATACAATCCCCGTCGCTATCCCCAATTAAAATCTCCAATCGCCCATCGTTATCAAAATCGCCGGTAGCGAAATTCGCGCTAATTCCGTTGCTGCCTAACGTCGGGTTTTCGAGTGTAGCGGTATTGCGATAGTTGTTATCGCTATCTGCTTCGTATACTGAAATAGAATTAGTGGTGTCATCGCGGGTGAAAATTTCGGGTGTGCCATCTGTATCCGCATCCGCAATTGTTAGACCCCATTGCCCTGGAGCTTCCCAGATACGTTCCGTTGGAAATTCGCCTTGTGCGGGTTGCTCCAGTAAGAACATCCCATCTGGCGGGTTGCACAATATTTCTATGAGCCCATCGTTATCCGTGTCCGAGATTGTCCTCGGCAAGAACGGTTCAGTAAATGAGAAAATTCGTCTGAAGCTGCCATTGTCCTCAATCTCAAAAATTTGTGCCAAGTTCGTCCCCATTTCCGCGGTGATAAGTTCTAATCTTCCATTTTTGTTTATATCTACCGGTGTACCGACAGCATGCAACGCGCGTTCAGTTGATGTACCTTGCAAGAGATGCAGTGGATTAATCGGCGCGTCTTGTACTTCAACCGTATACAAACTACCGTTGTTGTCATCAATTCGTAGTCCTCCGGCACGATTTTCCACTAACAAGCGATACATGTAAGCACCGGCGGATATACCTAAATCCGACAAGTTCACGATATGGAGAAGATTCTCTGAATCCGAGCGGACAGTTCTGACGATATTCCCGTTTGTCTGAAAAATCTCTATTTCTCCGATAGAAATCTCATCCGTCTGCCACAGAATCACTGACGCAACGCTGTTTCCAGCGAACCACGCTTGTGATTCATGCTTGGAAATCAGCGGTGCCGTGTGGTTCACTTCAACAACAGTTCTGTCTCTTTTGATTTCACCTGTTTTCGATTTGACACTGAGCCGCACTGTATATTTACCTTCTGCTAAGGCAGAGGTGTCCCACTTGTGCAGACAGACATTAAATTTCGGTTTCGTTTTCACAGTTCCTAAAGGAAACCATAAATCCGGCACTTCACTGATACCATATTCTAACCAATACTTAGTGAATCCGATCCCTCCAGCACTACCAAAAATCTCAATTTTTTCAATATTACTGGATTCTGCATCTTGTGAGAACATTCGGGCGGTGTCAATTTGCACAATAAGTTCTGTTGGAGAGGTGAGTGCGGTGTATGCATTAAGCGAACCGGCACCAACGAGGTCGCTTATAAAAAAGCGGGTCTGCGGCCCTAATCAAGGTTTCCTGAACCTCTGCATTGGTATAATCTGGATTCGTAGACACAACTAAGGCCGCAACCCCAGATACATGCGCAGCCGCCATTGATGTACCAGATAAGTTTTGATACCCACCGTTCAGATATGTGCTAAGAATTTCGTCACCGGGCGCGGCAATATCAATTGTCGCACCGAAGTTGGAATCGCTGTTTAGCTGCCGCTCCTCGCTAAGCGCGGCAACTGAGATGACGGTTTTAAGTCCGGCAGGGTACCAGGACCCGACTGCCCCCTCATTTCCTGCAGCCGCGACCATAACACATCCACGAGCGTAAGCATACGCTACAGCGTCTTCTACGATGAAGGCGTTTACTGTGTCTCCCCAGCTCATGTTGATTACTTGTGCACCGTTATCGGCAGCGTAAACGATAGCCGCAGCGACATCGTCATTCTGGAGATACCCGCCGCCCCCATATTTGAAGTGGGCTCTCAACGGCATGAGACGACACCGCCACGCAATGCCAGCAATCCCAATTCGGTTGTTCGCCTCCGCAGCGATAATGCCGGAGACATGGGTGCCGTGTCCTATTTCATCTTCAGGCTCATTATCGCGTACTGTCCAATCGCCGTTACCCGGTAGCGTCGGCGCATCGCTGAAATCCCAGCCGTTGAAGTCGTCAATATAACCATTTCCATCATCATCAATGTCGTTCCCCGGAATTTCACCAACGTTTCGCCAAAGTTGCGAACGAAATTCCGGATGTTGCATATCTATACCGCCATCTACAACAGCCACCGTTACTTCTGGGTTTCCCTGTTCAATATGCCACGCTTTTGGCATATTCATTAAAGCTAAATTCCACTGTGCACCATAGTTGGGGTCGTTCGGTACTATTTCGGCACAGGGTCGGTTGAGACGGTTCATCTCAACCGCTTCAATTGATGGGTGTTTCGCATACCGTCGCTGCAACGGTTCCAATGCCCATTCTGCTGGAAACCGAATGAGATAGTTACGACGGAGACGTGGATGTTGTCCGGCAGGTGTATTCGGTGAGAAAATGGGCGAAACGGATACCGCACCGAGTTTTCTACTCAATGTGTCGAGTTCCTTACGAGAAGCCTCTGGTGTAGGCGTACAATCAGTTCACCGGGAGTGTGAGAGTTGCCTGAATTGCTTTGCGCAAAGACGAATGTGCATTTATGAACAATACGAGAATAAAGAAATAGATAGATTTTTTTGTCATGATTTATTGTATTATTGCTTGCTGGGGATCCTCCGGTTTGTTGACACTACACCGAGCGTGCCTACTGTGTTGTATTTAAAATTGCAATTCTAAAAATAATCTGCTATATTATATGGTATGGGATTCAGCGTGAAAAAACCAATTATTTGTATGCTCAAATAGGACTTACGCATCAAAACGCTGTTGGGATGGATGGCTTCGGCTTTCGTGCCCATCCAGACATGAACGCACGCAGGGCACGGGGACCCTGCGGAACATAGTCGAGACGAACGTCCATTGCGTAAGTCCTGTCAAAGAAAAATTAAGGAATACTCCTATGAAAGCATCAGAACTCACCGTTAAATGTTTGGAAAACGAAAATGTTGACTATATTTTCGGAATACCCGGCGAGGAAAACCTGGATCTAATGGATGCCTTATTGGAATCCGATATTCAATTTATTCAGACGCGCGATGAACGGGCTGCCGCCTTCATGGCAGATGTCTACGGTCGCCTCACTGGACGCGCAGGGGTCTGTCTCGCCACCCTTGGTCCCGGAGCCATGAACCTTGTCACCGGAGTTGCTGATGCCAATATGGATAGGGCACCTCTCATCGCAATCACCGGACAAGCCAGCCTTGACAGGATGCACAAGGAATCGCACCAATACATGGATGTCGTCTCTGTTTTCAAACCGATGACGAAATGGAATACGCTCCTCCATCTGCCCGAAATCATCCCCGAATCCATAAGCAAAGCCTTCAAAATAGCGACAAGCGAAAAACCGGGTGCTACCCACATTGATTTTCCTGAAGACGTAGCAAGGATGCAAATCGACGCGGAACCTGTACCTCATGATTTCCCAAGTGAAGCAGAACCTGTTGCCGCCTGTTTGCAACGCGCCGCACAGTTGATTAACGATGCCAGACAACCTATTATTCTTGCAGGCAACGGAGTCATCCGTCAAAATGCCTCTCGCATGTTAACACAATTCGCAGAGATGACGAATATTCCGGTTGCGCACACCTTTATGGGCAAAGGGAGCATTCCCTGGACCCATCGGCTCTCTCTTCTGAGTGTCGGTTTGCAAGCAAACGATTTCGTCTCCTGCGGATTTGATCGGGCAGACCTCGTCATCGCTATCGGCTATGATATCGTCGAATACCATCCAAGCCTCTGGAACCCGAATCGAGATAAAAAACTCATCCATATTGATACGCAACCGAGCGAAAGCGATGCCGCTTATGTTACTGATGTCGAAATGGTTGGCAACATTCGGCAGAGTCTCAGACACCTCATGGCACAAGAAATATTTTTCCCAAAGATGCGGAGTATGCTTCAAATACATTGCGGAAAATCATACTCGACCAACTTAACGAACATCGTGATGACGCAGATTTTCCGATGAAACCCCAAAAGATTTTAAGCGATGTCCGTTCTGTACTCGCTGAGGATGATATTGTTATTTCTGATGTCGGCGCACACAAAATGTGGATTGCGCGCATGTATCCTTGTTATCAACCCAATACATGTATCATTTCCAATGGGTTCGCCGCCATGGGCATCGCGCTACCGGGGGCTTTCGTCGCCAAACTTATCTACCCGGAACGTAAATGTTTGGCAATCTGCGGCGATGGTGGGTTTATGATGAACTCACAGGAACTCGAAACCGCTGTCCGAACCGGTGTGCCTTTTGTGACGCTTATTTTCAATGATGAGGCTTACGGGCTTATTGAGTGGAAACAGATGAACAGTTTTGGCAGACCCGCACATATTGATTTCACTAACCCCGATTTTGTCAAATACGCCGAAGCTTTCGGTGCCAAGGGTTATAGAGTTGAAGCGAGTGACGAACTCATTCCTATACTCAATGATGCGTTCAGTCAGAAGGTCCCTTCGGTCATTGACTGCCCCGTCAACTACGCAGAAAACCTACGCTTGACCAATGAACTTGGGCAACTGACATGCCCCATCTAATGTCGAAAAACCAAACTATGTATTTTGGTTGTGCTACCGCATAGAAAATGCTATCATCTTTCAGACGCTAATCGTGGTTTTAGTCTATTTGCTTTCGGATATGCTTCGTTTTTTCTAAAGGAGGATGCTATACTAAAATATGGCAGTTTCAACAATTGAGTGGGCAGATGGCAGAATTCGGATGATTGACCAGACGCTGTTGCCCAACGAATTTAAGTACATTTATTGTGATGATCTCCCCTCAACTTGGGAGGCAATTAAATCCCTGCGTGTCCGAGGCGCGCCCGCTATCGGAATCGCTGGGGCATTGGGCGCAGTACTCGGAATTTGGAATTCCGCCGCGAAAACCTATGAGGCATTCGCCGCTGAACTCAAATCCGCTGCTGATTATCTCGCTGACATCGCGACCGACAGCCGTTAATCTCTTTTGGGCACTTGATAGAATCTCCCGCACTGCGGAAGAAAATAGATGCCTCCAAATTCCTGAACTCAAAGAGGTGCTGCTCGCTGAGGCTTTGGAGATTATCGCTGAGGATAAGGCGATGTGCCGGGCTATCGGACAACACGGCATGGCGTTGCTGAACGAAAATGACACCATTTTGACGCACTGCAACGCTGGCGGATTAGCCACATCCGACTATGGTACGGCGTTGGCTGTGATGTTTAGCGCACACAAAGCCGGTAAGCAGATCCAAGTTTACGCCGATGAGACGCGTCCCCTGTTACAGGGCGCACGCCTCACGACTTGGGAACTCATGCAAGCAGGTATTGATGTAACCCTTATCTGTGATAACATGGCGGCACAGGTCATGAAAGAGGGCAAAATCCAATGCGTTATTGTCGGTGCCGATCGGATTGCTGCGAATGGCGACACTGCTAACAAAATCGGTACCTATAATGTCGCTATCCTCGCAGAAGCACACGGCATCCCCTTTTATGTTGCTGCGCCAACTTCAACGCTGGACTTTGCCCTTGAAACCGGTGCGGAGATTCCTATTGAGCAGCGGGCGGCGGAAGAGGTAACAAAGGGCTTCGGAAAATTAACCGCGCCTGAAGGTGTGAAAGTCTATAGCCCCGCATTTGATGTCACACCTGCAGCGTTAGTCACAGCGATTATTACCGAAAAAGGCATAGCACGCGCCCCTTACACGGAGAACCTGAATGCTTTACGAGATTCGTAAGCTGGATGGGGTGTGTAAAGTTTTTGGCATTATTGGGTGAACTAAACTGTTTTGACTCCTTGCGGGAGCGGTTTGTAACCCCGATTTGAAACGCCAAAACCGCAGCGAGGCGACAGGTGTATCATTAAACTGGCACCTCTGGATGAATCAACTTGTGGCTCACGCTGCTTTCGCTATATTCGCGCGGGTGCCGTGGACATCAAAGCAGTCGTACTGGTTCGTGTTCATAATCCGAGTCGCAAGTGCCATCGCCTGTTTTTCGGTGAGATAACCGTCCGAGATTTCGGCTTCAAGGGCACGTCGAATTTCGTTCCGTGCTTGAATCGCATACGCCATCGCACTCGTGGGCCAACCCGTATCACCGCCGAAAGCGAACAATTTATTTGACGGGACAGCGTGAATGCACCGGCGAAGAAAGTCGCGCGAACTATACGGATCAATACTCCATGCCCAGCAGAAGTCAACCCAGATGTTGCGGTAATGTTTCGCAAGCGCGACCAGTTCATCGTTGTAAGGGTAAGCGATGTGCATCAGCACAAACTTCGCGTCAAGATACTCCGAGAACAAGGCGCACATATTCCCGGCAGGGATACGGTGCACCGGCATCCGGTTGTTGCCCGCATAGTAACCGGTGTGGATTTTGAAGGGGAGGTTGTGTTCAATTGTGAGTTCAACACCGCGTGCCCAGCACCAATCGCCGAGACACAGACGCGTCGCTTCATCAAGGTCTGCAGCGGGTTGTGTCAGCACAGCATTGAGTGCGGCGGAGGCATCAGCATCGCTCCTTTTGATCCAGTTGAGTGTCCGGTTGTAAGCGTGTTGCGATTTTACGGCGATAGCACACGGGGCATGTTTGGCGAAAAGTGCATCCATACCGTGTTTAAGAGAAGCGAGGTCCTTGACTTCAACACCCGTTTCGGCGTGGATAGCACTCGGATCAACTTGTCCGTTACAGAATATTGCCCACGAAAGATCATAGAGAAAGAAATCAGGACCGGAGGTATCGGGTGTGCATTGCCAGCTGAAATCGTCAGTTTGAATATGATCAAGGTTCGCGAGATCGTGTAAGATATGGTGGCGTTTCCCTGGGGTACGGATCGTTTTTACTTTATCTTGTGCAAGGGCGAGCGCATCACCGGTCAATTCATCGAGTCCATAAATATGTTTCGCGATGAGGCTGACGGCCTCGCCATACCCAGTAAACTGCGTCGCTTCCCACGCGTCTCGGATACCTTCAAACCGTGATGCAATGTCTTGAGAAGCGTCCATCAGGTTACCCATCGCTTCTGAGGAAGCACCGGCTGTTACCAGGTCTGCCGGGACATAGTTGCCGAACAAATCTTGGAGAACATCGGGGCCATTCTCAACCCAGTCGGCTTCGCGTTTCATGTGTTCGTGTGTATCAACGAGGCGGATAGATTGAATGTGATGTGTCAAATCGGTGGTTGCCATGCATAATCTCCTATGAAAATTGAAACTAAGTCTTTAGAGTCTCGTACTTGACAAATGTGTTAAGTTATGATTTAATAAATATATAAGGTCTTGGCAATTTGCCTCTCTTTGTAGTATTGTAGAGCGGAACCTTGAACAAGAAGACGAGATTCGCTCTATTATAAGAGAGTAGGAGGTTTGTGTCAAGAAAAACCGTACATTCGGCAGAGTTATTTGTTCTCAACTTTTCGCCGCTTTCAAATGAGAGGTTGCGATCCAACGATGGATCGTACATCACTCAGCGTGCTTACGGTAAGGTTGAGTGGCTCTGACAAATTTGGGGAGGCTCAGGTGTAGACTCCCTATAAATGCGAAATGCTCAAGCAGGAACACGAATGGTTATTGTCGCCTTCTTGATGAGGGAGCAGACCACAGGAGCATATGATGTCCACAGGACGGATTAAGTACTACAATTTCGATAAAGGCTTCGGATTTATTGCGCAAGATAGCAGTGATGCGGATGTTTTCTTGCACAGTTCTGCCATTAAGCATCCCGAATATGAAGAACTCCGCGTCGGGCAGCGAGTAAAATATAGTGTCGTCGAAGGTGAGAAAGGACTCGTTGCTCAAAACGTTGAAGTATTATTGACACCGACGGAACGCCGATGGCTGCGGCAAGGGAAGGCGATTATCCCGCGCGGGTACGCTGGATTCCCAGGTCAGAACCAAGGTCAATTTATCAGTGATGAGGCAGTGCCTGCCCCTAATTACGGAGCGGGCGAATCAAAGCCGATGCGAGGCCGTGATATCTCCGTGGCATCCTCAAAACCCGCATCGAAACTACCTAATCAACCCACCTCAACAAAAGATTCTGGCGATGCAGATGAACCCACACAAGACGGGCAAGAACAAGCTTCAAAGCAACTCAGCTTCGGTGACCTCTATATCCTCAAGCAGATTAACTTTGAAACATCAATGTTCTTCGCGTTGTATAACGCGATACAACTTCCTGCTACTGTCCTTGAAATGACACTTTCCAGTTTGACACTCAATAGCAATGGGAAGGAACAGCAGATCGCTAAAACAGATGTTAAATATTGCTACAAAGACTTTGACGCAGAGAAAGTTCAAGCAGCTGTTGAGATTGAGGAAGATGTCAAAGCGCAAGAGTTGACGCAATTACCACCCGACGCACAGCTGTGTGAAGTTGATACGGAAGCCGTGCGGCATGCCCGCAAAAATGGAACCGCAATTGAGATTACGCTCCGAGGCGGAGAAACCTTCCGTGGGACTGTAGACTGGGTGAGTCCTTATGAAATTAAACTCATTTTAGAGAATGGAGCAAAGGTCGTCATCTTCCGACATGCTGTCTACAACCTTTCCGTAGATTAGGGGGTCCTATGCAGGCATATTCTGAACTTCTTAATGAGATTGAGCGTGATGTGAAACGCTTACGCGAAGAATCCGGAGGGGTGCCGTGTCCATCTACCTGTTTTGCTTGCTGCCATAACACAGCGACAATGGCGATTAGTGAGGTTGAAGCTCGATACCTAAAGTTAGGGTTAGACGCACTTCCAACGCAGCTTCGTGCGCATATCCGTGCAAAAGCAGAACGCAGCATCAAAAAGTTGGAAGCACACGGCTATAGTGCTGAAACTATCATGCCGGATACGGGTATGGAAGCAATTGGCGTGATAAAGGGCACACCTGAGGGTGAATGCCCTATGCTCATCGGTGGGGTCTGTTCTGTTTATGAACATCGTCCTGTCATCTGCCGCGTTTGGGGATATCCAATTCATAACGGCAATGACTTAGCCTGCTGCCACAAAACTTTCCTCGGTCAACGCCGCCGCTACCGCCCCCTCAATTATAACCACTATTGGAAGACCTGTCAAAACCTTAGCATCGAATTGGGTGCCACGCAAAAAACGCCGAACTGTTATCTCGTTTCTCAATTGCTATCGGAGTAAAAAGCCTGACACACCATTTTTGGACCCGTGGAGGCACCATGAAAAACAGATTTATCCTTTCCAATTTTTTTATCTTGCATCTGTCTTGAGTCTCCTGCTCTGCTTCGGTTGTGGAGACACAGAAGACGAGCAAGAAGTAACCAACCCGACCTATAATACGTTCCTCGACGAACCTGATGAACAACCACTACAATCTGATGATCAATCACCACAATTGACAGACATAGACTTGAAAGACGCTGAACAATGGCTACACTTAACGCTCAAAGACTGGGAAAATTTAAAAGACGAAGATTGGGAAAAGTTGAAAGGCGAAGATTGGATCAGGTTAACAGACGCGGAAGTCAAAGAACTCATGAACCTCAAGATTCCGAAACGTTGGGCCTTTGAGGCGGCAGACGAAGCGTTACGCAAAAAACATCGCGAAGCTACGCTCTTCCAACAGTTCGGAGACATCCCACAGGTTCGTTACATCGTAGAGTTTGATCGAATGTGGCGAGGTGGAATTGTAACACTTGAGGTCGCTAAGCGACTCGTTGCTGATTCGGCGGCAATGTATTTTCTCTTTCCGAATGCTGACAATCAACATACATTTGAAAAAATAAGAAACCTACTACAGGCTATAATAGAACAAGAAGAACACAGTCTCGAAAAAGAAGAACTTCGCCTCTTAGATCAGCTCAGAATAGAAGACCCTGAAGCTTGGGTAGAAAGCATGCGCGCCTTTTTTATTCGCAAACACGGTAACACCCCGGGATCTAACACGATTATCGAATTTTTGAGAAAATTGGAACTGGATTTACCAAGAGCAGACGAGGAATGCCGTTCCTATCTTACGGCATACAATGCGCTCTATACTGCCTTTAAGGTCCGCTCAACTTATGAATACGAATACTATGCTATGTTTGAAGCATCGGACCAGCTCCGGCCTATTGTAGCGGATAAGCCGCTACGCATCCTCGAAAAATTTCGAGAGGCGAGAGCAGAAGGTATCTCATTCTATAATATAGATTGGGACGATGATTAGCACACATCAGGTGTTTTAGACGAGCTTTCGCTTAATTCGCGTAAGAATTGGAAAGTATAAATCCCAGTACGGTGTCCATCGCTCCACGCCAAACGCACCGCATAGCGTCCGACTCGCTGAATGTCCACAAGGCGTAAGTTTTCAAAAAAGTCATCACGGGGTAAAATATGGAACGGGTCTTTTCCCAAACGTACTGCATCGCAATGGGCGCATGGACATTTTTGGCGCAGGAGGCGGTAGGACAGTTCGCTACGGTACGAATCTTTCCACTGAATTTCCAAACTCGTGCTGCCTCTTTCAATGCGAGTCGGTTGAAATTTTTCCATGATAACGCCTCAAACAGGTTGCGTGCATAAAAAACGGTTGCCAATTTGTGTGACCGCAAGCAGTCTCGCAAATCGACAACCGTTCAGGGAGTCGCGATCTAAGGATTGCTCCTGCTATCCGTTATTCAAAGTACTCCGCGTTGATATCAATGAACTCTTCCCATTCTTCAGGAACGTCTTCTTCCATGAAGATAGCTTCGACGGGACATTCGGGTTCGCATACACCACAGTCGATGCACTCTTCTGGATCAATGTAGAGTTGATTGAACTCCTCAAACTCGTCAGCGTCCGGTAGGGGGTGAATGCAATCCACTGGACACACATCAACGCACGAACTATCCTTAACGTCAACGCACGGTTCGCAAATCACATACGTCATGTTGGGAAACTCCTTTCCGCTTGATTTATAGTAAAAGCCTCCATGCTCACATTGGGGCAACTTCACGCAATAGTGGGTTTAGACCACTTTGATGAAGGCGTAAAGAGACATCGTCATATATGGCGGATTTTTTTGCTATGTCTGCTGAGTTGCGATCAGGACACTGTCATAGTACCCACAACCTAAAGGCTTGTGCTTCATCGCAGTCCGCCTTCCGAGGAAGGTCTTACGTCTGCTCCACAAAGGCGCACTAAGCACGCCTCACACCAAAGTGCCTTTTTTATATGCCGGGGATTTCACGTCCTGTCCATATATGGAATATGATACCACAGTTTTTTGACAAAAGTCAAGTTTTTTGCCCGCCTATATCCCCCCAACCTAAAGGATGGGTTTTGGCGGGAAGATTGATAAATATAGTGAATTTTGTAATTACTTATACATTGGGTTGCTGATTGTTGTATTCCAACGTCTCTTAATATTGGCAAAATCATGTTCAATGGGTTTGAGATCCGGAGAATACGGTGGCAAATATATAGTAAAATCCGAAAATATGTGGACACCTTAGAAACACAAAACACCTCTCCTCCACTGGCGAGGTCTGTAACCCTCACCCTTCCGTCGGTGTATAGGTATTATGGGCTTTACTATAAATGCTTTACGGTTTTTTTGAGTGGCAACTTGAGTGATTTTTAGATTAGAATCAGATTTTTACGATTCTTTCATATTATGGCAACCCTTTTCAACCGAAATTTTAGGTCTTTATATTATTAAAGGTAGAGCAGCGTTTTAAAAATAATTTAAACCGTTTCAAATCTTTTCACTCTAATCATGGAGAATCCTGATGGTAGAAAGCGATGTTCAAACTGATCGCAGAATCTTATCAGGCGATGACGAGGCATTCAGTATTTTAGTCCAGAAATACCAAAAGAGCGTCCATGCCCTTGTGTGGCGGAAGATTGGGGATTTCCATATGCTGAGGAGATTACGCAAGACACCTTCCTCCCGAGTATCAAAAGCCCTCGTAACACTCAAAGATCCGAATCTGTTTGCTGGGTGGCTTTATGTCATCGCAAATCGGCTTGCATTAATTGGAGCCAAAAAAACAGTCCAGTGATGCAATCGGTAGAAGAGCACACCTATGGAAGAGATAGAGCAATCTTCTTATGCGCATTATCTATCAGAAGCACGTGAGGTAAAAGCCTCCGATCGTCCACTGCGAAAAATCGCCCAAAACTTCTTCAGAAATTGCCGGAGAGTGAGCGCACAGTAGTGACACTGTACTATCTCGGTGAAATACGCGAAGGAGATTGGCAAGTTCTTAGTGGTCAGTGAACACGATTAAGAGTCGGATTCGCCGTGCGAAAGAGCGTTTGCAGCAGAACGACGAAGAACTCTTAATTAGCAAAACGCTTGGAGTGTTCACATTACCTGCTAACACTAACTGAGAGCATCATACGACAAGTTGCCAACATAAAACAGGCACCCGCTCCGGTTTGGGAAACGTTACTACCACCATGGGCGTGCTTTTGGTGCCAGCTGCCGTTTGGTCATGTTGCTTCTCGTGTCAGCAATCAATACCTCACGCAAGAACACTCCACCGACGGTCTCCCCAACACAAGCGCTCATCGCCCCGCGCTTTAGCGCGAGGATGTAAAGCTATTGGGAGATCGGTCGAGCAGATACGAAGGAGCCCGAACACCGAATCTTCCGAACGGCCCCGTTTGTGCGGTTGATACTCAGGAACGATAAATATGTGATGAGCCTATGTACAACCAGCTAGAAGGTGAAGCGAAGGACGAAGCCGAGGAGAAAGAGGGTGAGGAATCATATGGCAGTGGCCTGAAATAACCAGCGCGCTGGCTAGCAAGGTGGATGTGCTGCTCGCTCCATGCTTGTCGGAGTAGCCCGGGCGCATTCGGGCAAGCAAGAAACAGCCCCATGGTCGTTTTTGCGGTGTAGGTATCTGGGCGGTCGCCCTGGCCTGGACAGCGCGCGAATACTCGTTACGGCTTGGAACACACCTTCATAATCACTCCTAAGGTGGAGCTACCAGCAAGCCGATAAGGGAAGATACGTCCCGGGCGGGATAGATCCGCCGCAATACTGGCCAAAAAGGGGTAGATTCAGTGACGAGCAACTAATGGGCCCGAGACATCCTACCGTGTCCCTTTCGGTTGGTGGTTAAGGTTGGGCGGACGGTGTGTCAAGATCCTGAACCGCAGAGGTTGGCAAGGTCGGAGAATGGGGGAGCGGTAGGGTGTGGATAGGGAATAATTATCCCAGGATGGACTGGCCCGCATCAGCGTTGTGAGGGGACCGGATCCCAGACAGTCCAGTGGAGGACATCGAGGTAAGAAGAGATGGGCGAGGCAGACACCATGGTAATCCCGAGGAGGCGCCACACGGATGCGAAAATAAAAATAAAGTCTTGTAGAGGAAGTGGCGTCGGGGGGCGAGGCCGGAAAGGAAGTAGTGAAAGCCGTGAGGTGGAGAGTGTACATGTATGAAACCGATCAAGAGACTAGAGTACTGAGCACGGCACCCGCACCAAACCAGATCGATTTGTCCAAGAGGCGTACCACAACCAAAACGGTGGAACTAACGAGGTGTCCGGATGAGTATGGGGGAAGCTCTTCAGCTGCCGCTTAGTGGGGTGTGGCCTGTGTTGGGGCTAAGGTGGCGGTTTGGGT